ATTAGAATGTTCATATTAAATAATATCTCTTGCAAAAAGAAGTAGCTGAAGACACTAGGGAACAAATAATTCCAACCTGAGGATAATATCAAATGAGTGACCATATATTCATACTGCATATTAGAAAATGTAGATCAATTCCTTCCAACATTGAGTTCTTTTTTTTTTTTTTCAGAGTATTGTGGAGGTACAAACGCTTTGGTTACATAAATTTCCTTTCCACTGCTTGAGTCAGAGCTATAAGCGTGCCCATCCCCCAGACAGCGCACACCACACCTGATAGGTGTGAGTTTACCTATCCCTTCCTCGTCCCCCCACCTGCCTGACACCCGATGAATGTTACTTTCATATGTTCGCGGAAGTTTTAATTGATTAGTACCAATTTAATGGTGAGTACATGTGTTTGTTTTTCCATTCTTCCGATACTTAAAAGAATGGGCTCCAACTCCATCCAGGATAATACAAGAGAAATTGGTTCACCATTTTTTTATGGCTGAATAGGTACTCCATGGTATACATATATCATATTTTATTAATCCACTCATGTATTGATGGGCACTTATTAAGAGCTACGTACTAGGTATACAAAAATAAACCTTTAGAGCTCACAGTTTAATAGACCCATGTAGATGAGTAGTTGTAGTGGTGGTATTACTAGTAATAGTTAAACCTAACATTTGGACAAATCTAATGTGCCAGGCACTCTTCCAAGCCCTTCCATGTATTCCCACATTAAACCCTCCCAATAGCTCTATGAGCTAGATATTACACTTACCCCATTTTAAAGAGGAAACCAAGGCCCTAGAGAGGTTTCTTGTCCAAGGTCACAGGTGTTAGTAAATAATGAGAACATTAAAGTAGTAGAGGTTTTAACAGCGGAGTGTACAAAGTGCTATAGGAACAGATAGAGGGAAACAAACAGCCTAGGGGCTTTATAGGTTTTTGTCATCTCTAAGCAGAGGCTGTTTCTGAGGTTTGTTGAGGCATGGAGAGAAGAGCATTACAGGTAGAAGAAATAGCCGTTCAAAGAACAAAGGCATGACACATTTCTGATTCAGCAAACTGAAGACTTAGAAATGGCTGAAAGTATAGGGATTGTGAATAGCGATAATAGTAAATTAAATCTGGATAGATAACTGGTAGTGACATCATGAAGAGCCTGAATTTGGGAAATCCTTTTACAAACAAAAACTTATACAGACATAAACACATGAAGCAACACATCGAAGGTTGAAGAACAAGGATGACAAGGGAACGTCCGTTTAGCTTCTGTCTTATCACCTTTAAGAGACTGAGGCAATTCTTCTGAGTCTTGAGTCTTCTAGGAATACATTTTGAAAAATCACCACTGTAGGTAATGAGAAGCAACTGAATAATTGATATAAGCAAAATAGTGCCATCATTCAGTTTATTTTTAGTAAAAGCTACAAGGGCATAATGGAAAATAGAAAAAGGTAAGAATAGAGGGAAAAAAAGACTAGTTTGGCTGTTCAATAGTCCAGGTAGGAAATACAACTACAAACGGAGGCAGTGGTAGTGGGAATGTAGAATGATAATTGGATTCAAGATAGTGTTTAAGAGAAGCAGAGTGATCAGAGCTGTAGACATAAGATGTGGGACTCTGATGTTAGTGGATAAGCGGTAGTGGTAACAGAAAAGAGGAGTGGAGGTATTTCAGTTTGATGAACACCTTTATTCAAGTACCTGTGGTGTGTCCAAAAATAAGTCTGTTTATCAAATTTTTATTTTGTAAGGAAAATGTAAGACTAACTTGGAATCCTATTCTAGTAGGCACATTCCCCCCCATCATTACTGAAGTGACCTTGTTGCTCAAATGTTTATAATCATAGCCTTGATTTTTTTCATTTTTCGCTATTAGGCATAACGAGTCCTTCGTATGTCTAGGTCCTTCAAGTGTGGTCTTTTGATTGAATCTAAATTTTACAGAGCAAATCCTTTTATCAAAAGCGGTGCAGCAGACAAAGATGAAGCTTTTCTTGCCTCCGCAGATGCCAAGTCATGCAGGCTGGTGTCAGTTCCAGTAGCCCAAGGACCATGGAGTTCTCCCCAGCCTCCTAGGTCCCACTGAGGCAGTTGTCCAAAGCTTCCCAGGTTGAGCCTGTAGCACCTGAGGCAACTCCTCTGCTCAAATCCCACTGTGCTGGTGGGGAGGTGTGCTCGGCTCCCAGTCACAGGGTGCAGGTCAGGGGAGCATCTGCTATGTCTGCTCCTTCCGCAGTCTGTTGGGGCATGATGTGAAGGCTGCTGCTGCAAAGCTGAGTCCCTTGCAGACCTGGCACCATGCACCTGAGAGCTCAGGATGGTGTCGGCTGCAGAAACACAGGATTGACTACCACCAGATGCTTACTGCACCTGTTCTCTGGTGCAGTGACTATGCACAGACTCTGGGCAGCTCTCTGGTCCACCCAGACAGAGGCCTGTGGTGGTGGAGGGAGCTCGCGGCACTCTAGCACTCTATTCTCCTAATGTTCCCCACATGTAGATGCCTCCCCACAGATCCCCTTGATCTTGCCAAATGTATCATCCTGTCACCGTCTCCTTCACTCTGAATGTCCTGCCTCACTTCTCTGTGGTTTCACAATGTTCCTTCTGAGAAGAGCTATCCATAGTTAGGCATCTGCCTGCAATTTACACTCCTTTCCTTGAGAGCGGCATCCTCGTGGCTGCTTCTCTTCTACCATCTTCTCCATCCAACCAAAACCGTGCTTTTCTTAAGGCCCTACAAACTAAAGCTGGACAGCATAGACTTTAGGAGAAATAACAGCAACTTGTATATAAACAGTCCTTGTGCATGATAACATGTGGACTTCTCAAAAAATTCACTGAAACAGCCAGTATAAACTGCAAACCAGGAAAAGTCTGTCAGATTGCCAC